CTTGCAGGCGAAGTTGTCTCTGCTGAAGAAAGAAGACAGAGGATTCTCGCACAAGAAGCACGCGCCAGAAGACTCCACCAACTTGAACTGCAGCAGCAGCAGCAACAGCAGCAGCAGCAGCAGCAGCAGCAGCAACTCCTGCTGCAGCACCACATGCTGCACCAGGAACAGCTGCAACACGCACAAAGCCAGCAGCAGTAACAGCAGCAGCAGCCCAACTGCAACACTCCGCGGAACGCCGCCATCGCCTCCCTTCAACTTTAATAATAAATAATATTTGTGTACATATATGTATACGTGTACATAAATATTTATTATATATGTATATTATTAGATATATATATATATATATATATATATACATGTATTATATGTGCATTTATATACAATGTATTGCCTGCATGCAATGCGTATTCCTGTTATGTAAAGTATATGTATACAGATAATACAATATATATATAGTATATATATATATATATCATGTGTACATTCTTCATAATATACCTAAATGATGGAAGTATGCCTCATTATGTATTATACACCTGAAGTGCGTTTAAAGGCCGGAGCCTCTCTTTTAGCGAAGATATCTTCGCTCTGCTTATTTGTTGTATCAGCGCCGCAAGACGGTTTATTTGTTTTATTGTATTGTTACAAGTAAACTTTTTACTTTTTATTGTTTATATATTATTACCAAAAGACTCATTAGATTTATTTACTACAAGTAGTCGTATTTATTATCTTTATGCATTACTGCAGACAGACATATTACTATTTTTATTCGATGGGGCCTTTGAATTGCCTCTACGAAATATGAATTTGATTTACTAGACAGAGAAAAAGCGCGTTACGCCACCCTAAACAACTCTATTGTCTCTAAGAATATAAAAACCCTGACAACGCTGCAAACAAACCAAAGGAAAACCCACATTAACCACGAGCTAGAGGAGAAGACAAGTCAAGGTCCGTGTGCTTCATTCAATAAAATGCAGCAACAGCAGCAAAAGAAACAGTAGCAGCACGCTGCTGCTGCGACAGCAGAAGCACCTGGCGAAGCAGGAAGCTGCAGCTGCAGAGTCAGGACGCTGCAGCAGCAGAAGCTAGAAGCAAAGCACCTGCTGCTGCTGCTTTCTCTGGGTGTTTCTGTGGCTTGCGGGGCATCATGAGTCCCCGGGTGCCTGCGCCGTCTTGATTTGTAATGATATATAAACATATATATACATATATATAAATATGTATATATATCTATATATAATGAACTATAAAACGCGTCTGAACTGTTTATTCGCTCTTCATAACAAAGTTCGGATCTATGCGATATTTCGCCTCGAAGCTGCAACAGCAGCAAACAACAGCAAAGCAGCAGCAAACCACCACACAGCACAGTCGCCAGCAGTTTGCTACCGTGTGGTGTGTTGGTGCGACTCTTGATGACTTGCTGCAACTTCTGTCTTGCAAAAGATAGCTGAAAAATAACTCAACATTAACCTCGTCAGCCTCACCGTTCGAACCAGCGATCCAACAGCGTCTGATCACCACCACCTTGAAATGACTCCACAAATCTGCATGAAATGAAGAAAAAGTAGGAAAGAAAGAAACAAAGTAAAAGAAGAAAAAGAAAAGAACGAAAACGAAATTAAAGTTTAAGGCGGAGAAAAGAATAAGAGGAGACCAACAACAAACAATGCAATAAATTGAAATGAATCGACTAAAATGAAACAATTCAAAATTGAGGTGTACGTGCAGCTCAGGTGTACGCACAACCGACTGTGAAAACGAACCGGTATAAGTTCAGCGCCACTTTTCGCGCATATTCCTTTTTTGCGTCGACTATTGGCTTCGTTTCGAGTTTTTCAGTCAAACTTTGAGCAGATTCCAATAAACTAAACGCAGAAAACTACAACAACATCGCTGATGTTGATGGAGAAACACCGACAGCCAGTGCATGCGAATAGTGAAATATGAACAGCTGAAATATGAAAAGCTGAAAAGAACTAAAACATAAACATCGGAAATATAAACAACGGAAATATAAACAGCTGGAAAACAAAGTGAATAATTGAAGAATAAAAAACTAAAAAAAACAGCCTAAAGACGAGCTGAAACATGAACAACTGAAACATGAACAGCTGAAAAGTAAAACAACTAAAAAGTAAACAAAACTGACGCATAAACAGCTGGAAAATAAACAGCAGGAAAATAAACAGCAGAAACACAAACAGCAAAATCACGAACATGAACAAATTCAACTTGAGAGGCTGAAAAATGAAGACAAACGGCGCATGCATGCAAAAGAAAAGTTCAGGGAAGCGCCAGCACACATCATGCCTCTCTTCTTCCCTGCAGCAGCACTTGGTTAAAAATTGCAGTTAGTAATTCATTTGCTTAATTGAGAGGAGACATCATTAAGAATCCGTTGTAGAAACATTATCAAAAGAAAAGATGAAGTAGAATTCTTACATAAATGTTCTACAGATAATTTTACTCGCAGGATATTATATTATATTATGAACAGCATTTACTGCACATTGCCGACTTACAAGCCAAGACGAATGCTTGAAGCTTGCTCAGCTTGAGGCAGCAAATTCCTGTAAAAGAAATACAAAGAAAAACAGCAAAAAACTAAAATACAATACACAAAAACAAATATCGACGAGGCAGGACTCAAACTAATAAAAGAATAGGCGAGATCTCTGCCGATACACATAAACACTAAATTCTAAACCCTAAACCCTAAACCCTAAACCCTAAGCGAGCAATCTGCGGAAGGGAATCATTTGTTTTCCTTGCCAGCCTGTAGAAAGAAGCGAACTCGGTCTGTTATTTGTTAGAACGCCCATAAACTGCAACGCAAAACAAACACAAAGCAGCACAAAGCGTGCATGCAGCAACATGCATGCATGCAGTTAGCGTTAGACATATTATATATTATATCATATCACATCATATATTATGTGCTTCTTTCATATATCCTGTCATATATTATATTATATCGTATTATTATATATCATTATATATCCTATCATATATCTTATCATAAATCGTATATCATGTATCATATATATCATATACCCTACATAATACGATATTATATATCATACATCAAATATCATATAATTCGACTATATCATATTTTATCATAGATTGAACATAATATATCTTATATCGTATATCATATAATAAACATAATATATACATCATATAATATCATATAATATATATCATACATTCCATTACATTGATTTGTTACACATATAATAACCCAATACAGGATATGACTACGAGATTAGACAAACATAACTATAAATATAAAATTCATGTACATATGAATTGAATGTAATTATATTCTATTATATTCTATTCAATAATACATATACATACAAATATATACATATATATATAATGCTATACAATATATATATATATATATATATATATATATATATAA